GGGAAAACAAAATGTGTCTCCCTTAGACTGGCTTTTGAGGTTTCTTTCAAGAGAACAAAGCATTTACAGAAAAATCTGAAGAAAATTTAGTGAAACATGCTTCTTAATAGACTGTCACAGTCTCTTCCCATCTGTCTTGTCTTCCTTAAAGATTCTGGATTAGAGCTTTCAGTTGGTATAAGTTAACATAGATTTGGCCACCTTCCTGGGTACCTGCTTGGAAAGAGAGATTCCAATATATAAGCTTTGGAAGAATTTGATGAGGATGATTTGACACACTATTAAAATAAAGCCGACCTGCAGAAAAGATGTGCGTTCAGTCTTCGATATCCAATAAGCACTTAAAATTACTTTGAGAGTTTCCCTCGGCTTTTTTGTTCAGTTTGAGAGGACTACCTCCAGTAATGCTATCAAAATCAAAGCCAGAAAACCTGAATCCTTGGTTAGAGCAGACTTTGGTTACCTGCATGCCAACACACTAATACCTCAGAGGTTTAAGGAAAAAACTGCATAGAGCACGTGTCCCCTCATTGATATAAATTAAGTTGGCAAGTGTATAGGAGTTGGATATCGTGGTGCACAATACTGGCAACATAAACACATGAGGATGCATTGTATGAATCAAGCAGTCATTTGTTGGTGAACTCAGGTGCTGCATGTTTGACAAACATCTGTCTGCAAATGTAGTTCGGGCATGGATTGGCATGAGTTGTTTGCTAAAGGGTTGGTGCTTTTAGGGAAAAGTAGCATCTGTACGATGAAGACATCGAAAATAGAGGTAAATAGATTACTAAGTTTAATCAGTAGTAATAATTAGTAGTAAAACCAATCTTGAGAAAATACTTTCAGACCTGTGTGAGAAAAGCACAGAAAGCTCTAAGTTTGCTGTTGTGGTTGCTGTAGCTAGGCTCTTTCCTATTCATTAAAAAAATCTCCAAGCCGTGGGACTGGCATAGTCTGCCCGCTTCCAGCAGTACCTTTGAGAGAGAAACTTATTCAGAGCAGGGAAGTCATTTTTCTTAGAATTCTAACATGTCGGTGAATTAAGTGATCATGAAAATCTTATAGACAACCTGAGAAACTGAAATCCTGTGTTCTGGGAAGAGCAAGAAGGCGAAGCAGTGCCTGTTCTGACTATCCATTTCCACTTTGACCTGCAGCTACGCTGCCTTCCTTCCGAAACCATCCCCAGAGGTGCAAAACAGTCAGCAGTTGTGTGGGTACCTAATAGGCGGGAAAGACAGTACTGTTGGACGTCACATACAGCAGATAGCTCCTACATCCCTGGGACGGGTACTCTTATTACTTGCCCTGGGCCTCGTAACGCTTCTCATCATTAGCTTGCTTCTCCGATACGGTTACAATACAAAGCAGTACACAATACTACTCATTTGAGCTTGGTTTTAAGCTTTCACAGGGAGACTTCTGTATTGAAGGGACAGAGCAGCCCCATGGGCTGGGCAGTCTTGTTCCCTCCTTGAATTCTTGCAGAAAGATAATCAAGTCACAGTTTCCTTATATCACTAAAAATTGGGATAAAAGAACAGTTGCTTTGGGGAGCTGTTTTGAGACCTACAGCTGAAGCCGATTTGTAAGGCAGATTTAGTGGAAAGAGGATGGAAAAGAAACTAAGTGGAATTTCAAGCCATTTCCCTTTCTAGTGCCTGCCAACAGAGAATGCATTTCCCCATCCCCTACCACACCTGTGATCACACAGGAGCACAGCTCTAGGCACCCATTTAAAAGACAGTTTTAAGCTTTTTAAAATTATTTCTAATCCCTAGAGCACTTTAGTTTCCTGCAGGATAGATTGCTGGATCTGTTGAATCAGAGAGTGCAGCTAAAAATGCAATTGCTTTTCAACATGTACGCACTTCTGCTTACCTGGTCTCCACTGGGAGGACCTGTGGCATTACGATATAGGTCAGGCAGCCACACGTGCACTTCTTTTGGCCTCTAAACGTCCTCCCTTCCCATGGAATCAATACGTTTGCAACAACATACACAAAAATTGACTTCAGAATATTATAGCAGCAAGGCCTTCCCAAATCACCCTGCCAGTTAAAGCTAGTGTCTCGCTTCATCTCAGTTCATTCACACACGCATACCCTCAACCCAGTCCTACTACAAAAGCCTGGAAAAAAAAGATAAGTCTCACAGCAAGCCTCAGAATAAAGATACTCAGTCTACAGTAGGCCCAGAAGGAGGAAGAAGCTGTTTTCCATTTAAGTGACCACTGGTTTACATGCCACCTCTTATCTCAGAGGCAGGCTGCTGGCGTACAGTGAGATAAAAAATAAAGGCCCCGGGGGTCTCATCACATACGAAGCTCATGCACACGTCTGCTAAATTGCACCTACCAGAACATAAGAGCAAGCCCCTTGGCTGCAGATGCAAAAATGTGTTTTATTTAATGAATTGTGAACTGCGTGAAGACCACCAGGCCTTTCATTAGAAGATTAGATTTGTTTCTCATAGCCTCAACCATTTTGTGCATGGCTTAAAGTCAGACAGGCTGGGTTGGGCGGCATCTCCCCCATTTCCTAGTCCCCACCCCCAGCACAAATCACAAAATGACAGAGCAGATGTTTTCCATGTTAAATATTTATTAGTTTTCTCAAGACAAACAGCAAAGAGTTACTATAATCAGACCTTCGTGGTGCTTTCCCCACAGTGGTCCCCCTAACAGTTTTAAATCACATCTAGATAAGTAGAAGAGATTTACACCCAGCATCCAACACAAGAATAAGCTGATCTCTATGTGTAATAAAACAAGCTTCTGTATTTTTACTATGGACTATAAAAGGTATGGCATGTATTAAAGTTATCTGGTATTTATGATAGGAGCCTAATTTTTTTATTCAGCTGCATATTACTTTGACTCTTAATTATTCTCAATTTTTTTGCCAAAGTTTTCTGTGTAAGATACAGAGCCTCAGAATTGTCAGAAACCCCCAGCTAAAGCTGCTCTGTCATTTCCAACAGCAAGCGAAAGACAAGCATTTTGTGAATGTTACTTCCCGGTGTATGTGTCTTAGGGAAGCTTTCATATTTTTATGTTTTAACATAATCCAGGAAATATTCGCTAAGTCAAAGCAAAAACTAGCCTGTGCTGCCCTCCATGCTGCTATGGAGAGCCCAGCTGGCCTAAGTACCTCTACAGAGCAGTTTCCACAGGGTACAGAAGTATTTTATATCTGTAACGGCTGCTTTGGGCCAGCATGAGAAGAGAGAAGGGGGCACGTCCTCGCTGCGCTCCTGCCGACCTCTGCTGCACTAGCACTAATGCAGCACAGAGATCTGGGTGACCTGAATCCAGTGCCAAAGGGAGAGCAAAGACGCAACCGGAGGGCAGAGAAGGTGTATTTTTGGACAAGATAACCCAGTGGGAAGAGCAGCTGGCAGATATGACAGGCAAATATTTGAACGGTGAGCTAGAGCCAGAGCCAAAGGGGGAACAGAGTAGAAGAAAACTTAGGAAATTGGACCAGAGAGTCAAAGAGGGGAGAGAACTGGAGAAAAGGCAGGAGCAGCAGGAGGAACAGACACGTAAGGGCTAAGGGGCAAAACAGATCGATACTATGAGTGGAGACGGGAACCGGGGCCTGCCTGGGTCACGGGACTGGTACCAGAATAGTCTTGGAGGCTGGGACTCGCATTTCCAAAAATCAGGCTTATACTTGCTGGACAAGCATATTTGGACTAAGATGAGAACCTGAGGAGTAGATCCTGGAACTAAAACAAGGGAAAAGGGTGGAGAACTGGGTCAACACACGTGAACGATATCGTCTGTGTCCACCGGACCTCAACGTTCACTGCAGCAAGGCTCCACAGCTCCCCCTTCTGCTGCCAGCAGCAGCCAGGGGACCCAACAGCACTTTTCCATCGCTCGCGCTAGATCACCCAACAGGTGATCTCGGTGAACCGGGTGAACTATTGACTGTTGCTATTAATAGCGGCGCTAATACACGTGGAATAATTTGCTTCAACGGATTTAGAGGCTTCCACCACTCTCAGCACCCGCAATACAACGCTTCGATGACTGAACTACTCTGATTTTTTTTGTTTATACTTTTTCAAAGCAATACAAACAATCACACTAATGGTGCAAGAGGGCATTTCTCCCGCAAGCGGGGAGATAGTTCCAACCCATTCCCTGCTGGACAGAGATCTGGAGGCAGCTCTCCCCCTCCTCAGGAAAGCCTGGCTCTCGGAGGGCTAGTCTACAACCCTTGGCCCTGCAGTAAACTTTCACTGACGTCAACAGCTTGCACAGGTGTCACCGAGGGTATGGCCTGAGGACAGCTGGCCTGCCCTAGCATAATTCAGACAGCGTTTTCATTCAGTTAGTGGCACTGACGCACTAGAAAATTTGCCTTGACTTCTGCCTCCCAAGCTTGAGGAAAGAGCATCTTTTCCTCGTAGACAGGATAACAAGAAAGAGATGGAATCCCTCGCTGTTTTCCTGTTTTTTATACACACACACACATATATATATATATATACATGCATATGTGTGTATGTTTTTCAGAGTACAGCTATTCAGAAATAACATTTCTTTTGAAAGAAACACAATAAAAATCCCACTCAGGTTATATTTAGAGAACTAGAGGAAATGAATATGAATTTTTACCTAAGTGAGGATTATAAAATCAAGTCCAGATGAAAGAAGCCTTCCTTCTGCAGTAGGAAATGACGCTGCCTTGCCTGTCGGCATTACTGCAGGCAAAGAAGCTTCACTTTACTGAAAATAAAAAGACAAAACTGCAGACAAATCCACACACTGCGTCTATGGGACAGTACAAAACTCATCGCTGGCTTATGCAACTCAAATTGAGGGGAAAGCAAAGCGGGGTTGCCTTGCTTTTCTCAGAACGGGATTTGGACACGCGCCTGCTGGCAGGAGAGGAACGGCTACGGTGTGCCGGGCAGCTGCTCGCAGCATCCTGCAGATTCAGCGAGTGAGGCATTTACCTACACAGCTGCCATTAATCTCCCACTTGCCCGACACTCTCCGTCTTTGGTTTTAGGTGCTGCTGCGTTCCTCCTCTCTGACTTCGCCCACAGGCGCAATTTTCTGCCGGGACGAAACAGTCGTTCTTCCAGAACCCGCCGCGGGCAGAGGCTAAAGCTGTGTGGGGAGGAACTGCTGACGGTTCCTAACGACATAAGAGCCCATTAAATCCCCTGCTAATTTCACGCCACCACAACCTGTGTCTAAGAGCAGCTTAAATCCTAAACAATTGGGCACGCAAACAACCAGGCAGGTAGAATAAGTTGGCATGTGGTTTTGGTGATGTGCACCAGTAAAGTTAGACCTTCGATACCATCTGGAGATGTCTTTAATAACGAACAGAAATATTTTCCACTTTAACTCTTACAGAAAACACATTAAACACTGAAATAGAAACTAACAAATTTCATTTTCTAGCACAGGAAGGTAACAAACTCCAAAGCCCTGTCCAGCCTCAAAGTCAAATATAAATCTTATCTTACCTCTCCTGAACAGTGTATAAAAGCAGCTACTTTATTACACAGGTTCTCTCACCTTTCCTCCCAGGGTGTCCAGTTAATGTTTTGCAAATGCCTGGTTCCTATCCCAACTGAAATATTTCTATTTTTAAGAAATGTGTGTATTTATATATACACACACAGAGCAAGAGCGTGTGCAAGAGCATGAGCATACGCACTTTATGTCAAATAAAGCGAGATATCTTCTCCAGGAAAAAAAGAGAGTCCCGACCCTCCTGCCAAATGTAAAAATTTGAAAATTCTGTGCCAGGAAACATAAGCGGAAAGGCTGAACTTCTGCGCTCTCAGCAAAAACTCCTGCAAAATCCTCACCGCAGATTATGAGCTGTTTGCAGTCAGTGAGATTTTTGCAGGTGTTACGTGGAAGAAAGATTCATGTAGCAGAGGATCACTGTTTCTCCCCTACTCCTCTGTAAAACATGTGTTAGCAAATTTCAGTAAAGAATGTTTCAGCTCTGCGTTTGCAAGTCTTTCAGTCAGCTTCAAATATTCCCAGAACAGCTGGCTTTAACTGCGTACCCGCAAATCAAGGAAAGCTGATATTCTCGTTTTGCCTTTACCTATTCTTTTGTCGCATACAAACTGTGAGCACCTCTCAGAAGGTAATCGCGTCCTGAACAAAAATTACAGCAGAATTACTAAAGCACTGAGAGTTACTAGTTATGGATGATTGATATTTCGGGATCAGGTTCCTCCTGACAAGTATCTCTTCGAGATGGTGGTACACCTTGCCCCCTGTCTGGTCAGCCAGAAGATTAGAGAGAAAATTTTTCTTGTGTCTTTAGAAAGTCACCACATACATACACTACCGGCACGTTTATTACTGAGAAACACACGTGGGGATAGCTGCCGTGTAGAATAAGCAGAAAACATGGATGGGTTCAAGCATAAAATGCATTACCCTTGCTAACAAAAGAATGAAGAAAACGACAATGCTTTACTTGCCCATCTCGGAGAAACAATTAACAGTCAAGCCATTAAACAGAATTGCGGAGGGCTGGCAACGGTGAGTAACTGCATTAGATTATTTACCTGTTTCAATGTCTCCTTGGGGTGCACGACAGTAACAGCAGTCCATGAAGATAACATAGTTTAACACATTGAAGAACAGACCTGCGAGCCCGACAATGAGGACGAGCAATGTTTTTTCAGTCTTCTGAGGATTGAGATACCTCTTGATTGCCTCAATGAAGACGCTGAGCATCAAAGCGGTGGCAAAAACAGAGTTGCCAAAGGCTCCCAGCACATCCGCCCGGGAGAAGCCGTAAGTGTTAGCTTTGTGCCATCTGATGCGGCTGAACCTAACGCCGACTAAACCAATGATCATGGAGACAAAGTGAGACAGGACAGCAAAGGCATCTGAAGCTAAGCTAAGAGAATTGCCAAGGTACGCTACTGAGATCTCAACAGCGAAAAGCACAAGGCTCACAACGCACATGAGGATGAGCCTGCTGCTCCTCCCTGAGTAGCGGCCCATTTCTCTTGCTCTTTCTCTTATTCTGAGGTTCTGTAAGAAAGAGCTGTGCAAGTAACAGCTCAGTCTCTGCAATTCTGCCCTTCACCTGTCAGTGCTGCTCACATGTGGGAGCCACTTTTATAGGAAGCCGTAAAACAATAAATCAGTTTAAAGGGCAGTTTAGCAAGATTTGTCATGTGAAGACAGCTTGAAAGCTCTCTCTCCACTCCTGGAAGGGCTCCACCCTGGGGAGACTTTTGTTTTTTTCACAAAAATAAAAATAAAACAACAGGGACCGCGAGAAGCACCAAGAGGTTGCTACTACAGCCAACGGCATCATCCTCAAAAACAGAATAAGGCCCACACAGGAGAGCACAAGAAGGTGGCCCAGAATTTTAAGATACCAGAGAAGGTATTTCTTTTGCATGAGATTTCCTATGATGCATGTTTCAGCCATTTCTGTTGCCAGAAGCTTTAGTACTGAGAAAACACTACGTATCTGCAGAAATAGACATTTCAAATCCATATTGGGTTGACATTACTTTTAATAACATGGTAAACATGAACTGGCTGACAGGATAGTCAAAATGCTATCCAGAGTACTAGTTTTAAAGATACCCGAACTGATATTCCATTTTAGCAAGCACAAAGTTCTCAGCTGTTTGTACTCTTAGCAAGTTTTAAGGATTTCCCACGGGTACGGACCAAAGTTGGAGACCGTTTTCTGCATGTATGACCACTAGACACAAAAGCTGAACTTTAACAATAAACCCAAAGTGCATTGTTCATTTTCCGTTCAGAAATCCCTGCCTATCTCAAAATTCCCAAAGCAATCCTGTTACCTTTGCAAAGAAAAGATACAGAGATTTAGGTAAAACGTGACCAGAAATTAAGGGAAAAACATGAGATGCAAACGTCTTTTAGTTTACACTTTGTGCCGCTTCTGGAACACAGTGAGAAGAACCTAAAGCAGTTAAGTGTTTTTTGTCAAACACTGCAGTAACTGTTGTGCTCTTGAGTACACACACAAATCCCAGCTAAGGAAATATAGCTGCTAATAGCACACTGGGTAACAGGGATGATTAGACCAGGTGCCTGCCTTGAAAAGTTTATGATCTAGTTTTTGTTTGAAATATCCAGCTGGGGACATATATGCACAGTAAGTTACAAGATAAAGCGGAAGGAAATGACACGAAGCACAGCCACAGAAGGATAAGATAATGATATTGATAACCTGAGTCGACCAAGTGCCCCTCCTGGCCTTAGACTTCCCAAGGAGAATTAACTTAAGGTCAAAAACTCAAACACCCACTCCTAATTTTCATCTATTTTTTGCTGATTAATCAGTCGAAATATTTATGTTTAAAGTCCAGCCTGTTGGAAGCAATACCTGCCAACAGATGTAACGTTAACATCTTTGTCCACACAAATACTGCAGCAGCAATGCTTGAGGTTTCTTTTTTCCACCTGAGTTACGACAACCTCTGTTTCAGCTTCAGAATCTGCTTTGGATTTTGGTCCAATTTTAAGAAACCTGTAATCTTGGTAATAAATGCATAGTGGGGTAAATTGGTAACTAATTACAGCACTCAAACTGTTACTTGCTTGTGTTTGTATTTCCTTCATCCTCCCTCAGCTGCATTACTACCTCTATTCTAGCTATACTTACGGTGTTCTCTTCACTCTTGTGCTAATGATGATGCTCAGCTACTTCATTATTTTATTCATGGAACTACAGGGCATGAAAAGTGAGGTTTTCAAAAGGTATTCTCTTTACTTTCACTGAGAATAGACTAAGGTCAAAATGCAGAGCTCTCAAAAATCCTGTCTTATGCAGGGTTCCACTTACCAAAATATGAGCTCAAGATAAATGAAGTATTCTCTTTGCAGCACAGCTAACGTGCTCAGAAGTGTGCTCCTTTTGGTCAAGAGGGTGCAGCAGTGTATCAGGCGTTTCCACTGTATTTCACCATACTATACTTTTTAATCCAGACTTATCAGTATGCAACTATAATAAGGAAACCTAAAGGGCTGCACATCTATTACAAACATGAAGTAGTATAATTTAGTCAATTGTAGTTGTATTATTCTGATTCACTTATTTTCTGAAAGACACAATTTACTAACTTAAAGGTCTGTAAGCTTTCATACAAATGTAATGATTAAGAGTATGATATTTCTATAAGGCTTTATACACAGCTCAGACTGTCCTGGGGAAAACGTATTTGAAACAAAAATGTCTCTCCTAAGACAGCCACCACCGAGAAATCTGGAGGCGAGTCATCCACATTCCAGATGCTTCGAGCCCTACTAGAATTAGGAAGAAACATGCTGGGGGGGCAGGGGGAGAAGGAACTGCAGAAGGGAGAAAAAAAAAAGTTTGCCTCTCCTTGAAAATCCCAGCTTCAAACAAACTCATGGCAGAATGAGAGCAACTCACTGCTAAAATACACCACTGTCAACATGTTTACTCTTGTATTTGATCAAGTCAACGGTTGAAGGTTGACTGTTTGATCAAGCTGATAAGGTTGCAGTATTAGATACTACATTTAGTGTTGCCTTTCCTTTGTCCTGCGCACATTAGCAGCTTCAGCATCTCATTTTTAAACGACCAGTGTTGCAGAGTTTCAGTAGGGGCTAAAAATGCTTGTTTGTTCTTACTAATTGTTTTGCTCTGACATATCTTCTTTGTGCTCTTTTGTCTCCTATGCTCGAGATCATTGAAGCTGCTGGTTACTGCCCATCCTCCTCCCCTCAGCATCCAGCATGCAAGTGCTAAAGTAGGCAACGCCTCTTCAGAACAGTCCCAACTAGCCATCACTTGAGGCTGGAAGAACATCACTACTCTTACTACTTAAACTCTTTCTCAAAGCATACTTCTATAGTCAGTGCTGGAGACAGGATATAAGGCTAGAAAAACCTTAGGGCCATTCTTACATTACATTAACTGAGAAAGATGAATGTATGCGTTGTAGTTATCATCCCCAAATGCTTTGATAAATATTACCCATGAGACTTTGTCTAGCTAGTTAGAAAATATCTAGCCAGATGAAAATGAAACAGATGATTTTGAGATGTAACAGAAAAACGTTTCAGGACTAATCGCCATCTGAGGAACACTACAAAGAATTTCCAAGTGCTTAAGCTTTCTGAGCAAGCTGATCTGAAATCAGCTTGAAATAGTTCATTATTTTTGCACTTCACTTGAAACACTGTGGTACTATCCCAAGATGCATGATCCTAAGCTGGACAGGCCACTGCTTCAATTTGATATTCAACATTTTGACTAGGAAGGCTGGCCACATGAATCTACACAAGGGCAAACATTTTACATATTTCTGAAAAGCAGAGAAGTATGCAGATCTGAGAATAATACTGTAAGTCTCCTGTATGTTTAAGACTTTCAGACTATTAATGCCTATATAAAAACAAGGTTTTGGAAACATGAAGCCATGTAATAATGTCCCAGGAAAGGGCTGGAGATGATTCCACTGGCCCAATTTTTTAATTGCTGATTTTTCACTCAGCTCCTGGAGGAAACAGGTTCAGGTAGACAGCCTCCAAATATACAGGAAAAGCAAGGAACAAACTAAGCCTGTGCCATTGAGAAGTTATTTTGTGTCATTTATTGCCAGCCGTATCTCGTATTTTCTTAACCAATCTATTGGTCAGAAGGGAAATAGGTTTGGGGGTTTTTTGTCTTGTACCTCTGCAACCTCTACCTTTTCTCCTAAAGTTACACAAAGTAAGAGAAGGAAAAGAAAAAGGGTTTTATGGAACTTGCTATACATACAACCACAATCCAAGATCTTTATCACCACAAATACCTCTCCTCGGATTGTCTTTGCATTACTCATTGCAGTATCACTGTGAGACAGCTATAACTACCAGTCTATAAGATAAGAGAAATAGGGCCTTGCAAAATGTTTACAAGAAATGACATTCACCTACATTTTGCTACCAACTTGGCATTTAGTTTAAGACAGCCTTTGAAACATGTGTTTGAGGGTGGGATGAATATATCCCTTGAAATACCTGATTCCAGAGGGAGCCTCGAATTCTACCCTCTTTGAAAACTTGTTTCCATCCTTCCTTTTAGGCAAGTTTCCATCTTGCCTAAAAGAAAAGCAGGAAGTCTGGACTGAAAAATGAAAAATATACAAGCTTTTAAGCCAAAATTAAAAGCAGATATTTTATCCATAAAGTTTATGTACACACCCTATACTGTACTGTAGAGCATATATGATACTCTCCAATCTTCTTAGATATTTTCTCAGAGTTAAAAGAACATATGCACATCAAAAAGAAAAAAGACATGAGCAAAGTATATTCTATCCTTCTCATTAAGCAACACAGAAAAATGACCACAGCATTTACAGCTCACAATACATGTTTATTAGAGATGTTTACAGAAAAGTCTGTGAATTACTGCTAGTCTAAGACTGACAACTGGGGGTTTTATGGTTTATGGCTTTGTTTTTTGAATCATTTAAAAAGTCGCAAAACTGATAAGTTTGGGGGCTATCTCAGTCTTATTAAAAAAAGTTCAATTCAGAGATAAAGGAGAAGGTGGTTACACTAGTAATTTAGTAACTACGACCAAATAGAGTGTAGAACTTAGCAGGGTTTTTGCTGCAGACACATTTTGCCCCACACTGCAGTTCACGGAGAGGCTGAAAAGGTATGCAGAGACTTTTTGCTCCCATGGAGGGGGCACCAGGCTCGAGATCTTGATCCCTGAAATAGAAGCACATTCATAAATAAATTCCTTTTAGAATAAAGGTACAATAAAGTATTATTTAAAAAAAAAAAAAAACCCCGAAAGCATGCTAATGGCTCTGGAAGCTTTAGAATTGAGGGAATTTATTGGTTTATGCAGAATAGCAAGACTCAAGGGTGACTATATGTTAGTGTTATATCTGGAGCAACCTTACATTCATGTTTTACATTCAAAACATTCTGGGTTTGATCTTGGTAGATCCTCTCCAGTTCAGTCATATTTTACCTGGCAGTGGTCTTCT